GTTATTTTCCTAACTTCCAATGATCATAACTCTCTCAATTTTCAACTTTTATGGGTGGTTCTTTTTTCCAAATATCACATTTGATGTCTTCTATAAGTTTTTTTCAAGGATCAAGAGCCAATTATGCTTGGAAAGCCATGAAAAGTTTGAAGATATTATAGGTCATTTTGGACAGAATTATTTTGGACCTCTAATTATAGTCTCATGGTGTCCAAATAAATACTTTCTTGTCATATTGTATTCTTTGTTGTGATGTGATCATTTAGCAAAAAGAATGAGGATAAAAGGTCAAGCGCACACAATTTTACATAGGTTTGAAGTTTCCTCCAAGAAATTGTATTTTGCTCAAAAGTCAGTTTTACAAATCATCAATTTCTCCAATTTAAAGCCAAAATTTGCACGTGGTTAGAATTTGGTGATGTCAAGTGATATGCAAGGATAAAAAATGATCCAAAATATGAAGGAATGTACTGCGTTTTGGTAACTTTTTATTCAAGATTTGTTACACTTTTGGTGCATATGGATTCACACGTTTGAGCATCATTCTTCACATGTATTGCATCCCCTCGCCTCAATTATAAATATAGCAAGATATTCCTCACAATTTCAAGCTTCCATAGCCCCCAAAAACTCTGCTTCAATTCAAAAAATTCTCTAAAAAATGTGAGATCGTGTTTTCATTTCAAGCTCTTCTAGCAACATTCTTTGATTTAGTTAGTTTCCTTGCAATCTCCTGAATATTTTGCAATAATCCTCAAGTCTTGAGACCTTCTGAATCATCCTGACCAAGTCACTCTTTCAAGCATTCTGATTAGACTTGGACAAGGTAGTTAGAGACATCATTTCTGCTCAAATAAGTTACCATGTTGTTGTTTGATGTTCATTGATACTCATCCTTACCTTAGTTTTCATTTATATTTCATTTTTACTGTTTAATTTTGATATTTGTTTTTTGAAAATGCTTCGTGTTTTCCAAAATTCTATCACACAGTTTGAATAAATTTAAATGGAACTATTGGTTAAAATCGCAACAATGAAATTGTCACAATGGTGTTGGTCTTATTCTCTAATGTTACCAAATACTCAAACTATGGTGAAAAACCACCGGAGAAGATCACCGGAGATGTTTGTGATTGTCTGAGTTTGTTTCAAACGTTTCAGTCAATCAGTGTGCTCCAATTATTTTAGTTTGATTGGTTTGTTTAAATGAGATATACTGTGTTATTTCCACTAAACTCCATCATGTTTCTATAATCTAATCCATCATATGCGCTTACCTGGCTTAAGTGACTTGGATCTCAGGGTTCACATTATTTCTGATTAATTTCTTTTTCTTGATTTTGTTTTAAATTGTTCTTACATTATAAAATTCATTTTAATTCAAATTTTGCTCCAAAAATTACGAAAAAATTCATAAAAATATTTCATCTCATTTTACACTTTGTGTAATTTTTTGAGATTTTTATTTTCATTTTTGATATTTTTTTCTTATTTTCTTTATTTTAATTGGTTTAAAGATATTTTTCAATTTTAAAAAATATCCCAAAAAAAAAAATTAAGTCATTTCTGATTTTACTATATTTTTGTTTTATATTTATTTGATAGTTTGATATTACTTTGCTATTTTTATTTTTATTTTTAATTTAAAATCATTTTCATGCACTTTAATTGTTTATTATTGTATTTTAATTTTGTTGACTTCTGGTGCCTTGGATCATGATTTTTTTTTATGAAAAAACTCATCAATATCAATGGACTTTGGGTGTTGATTTGGTTAGATGAACCTTCATTAATTCAAATCTGCCATTAAATGATTAATTGAATCATTTTTGGTACTTTGGGTTGATGAGAGGTTTATCACATTGATCCACCAAGAGAGGTGATTGATATTTAGGATAACTTGAATCAATATCTTGATTCAATTTGGTTTCATCTCTCTTCATCTCCTTCTTCTTCTTTTTTTCTTTTGATTAATTAGATGGTGATGAATTCATCTTGTTCAATTAGGTTTTAATTGATGTTTGATGAACTTTCATCATTTTAAATCTATCTCCAAATGATCATTTGATTATTCGAGGTACTTTAAATTAGTGATAAGACTGTCTCAAGATATCATGAAGGATTTGGTTGATTTAATGATCTCATCTCCTTGACTTTGTCTTGATCACCTTGCTTTTAAACCATGGTGTGCATTTTATGAAATACACCTTCATTATTTTGTCTCGACATCAGATAGGTGTAACTTCTACATAAGTTCACTTACGATTACTTAACAGCGTTAAATTGTCCTGAATCGGAATACTACTAACATTAATAACATTAATTGTGTTAACTTTATGTTTCTGCACTTTTATATTAATGTCATTTAAATTCTTGCAATTTACTTTTATGTAATTTATCTTTAAGCATTTAAATTTCATGCCACTTTATCTTTATGTCATTTATTTTATGTCTTTTTCCCTTTGTCTATTGGACATTTTTTTCTTCTTTTCAACGACATTAATAAGTATCAAACCCTAAATGACTTAATGTTATCCTTGGACTATGGTTACTATCTTTTACTTATGGAGGTTGGACTTTTGGACTTAGGATAGATCATTCGCGTGGACTTTCATCTGATACCTTAAGATTCATCTGAGACCCTGGAACTTTCATCTGAAACCTTAGGAGATTCATCTGATACCTTGAGTTTTATCGGTCTGTTTTATGTTTTATCTGATGTAGGAATTATTATCTGTGACTTTGAGTTTTCATCTGATGCATGAGAATTCATTTGTGCTCTGTGATTTCTCTGATGCTTTAATTTCATCTGAGACCTTAAGCTTTCATCTGATGCTTGGAATTTCATATGTGCTTTAAAATTCACATGGTGCCTTGGTTTTCATCTGATACTTTTGATATCCATCTGCTTACTTGCTTGTGTTGTGGCTTTAATCGAAAGGAAGGGAATACTTTTCTTGACTTATGTCAGATGTTTGCTCCATTTTGGTTAGTTCACATGCACACAAAGGCTTCCTCTTAGACTACCTTACAATGAGACCTTTAATTTCTTGCATTTACTTTATGCTAGGGGTAGCAAAACAGGTCGTGGTCCGCATGGACGGCTCGGGCACCAGCCAAAAAATAGCGGGTTGGGTTGAGATTTTGAACACGCCTCCCACTAAAGCCCGCCCCGCTAAAGATTATCGTCTGCCCCGCGAAAATCTGCCGCCCGCCAAAGATCGTCGTGCCTATTCGTTTAGTTTGTGACACCTTAAGTCCGGTCTTTTTAAATTAATTCTATTAGTTTCAATTCTTGATGGTTTTATTTTATACATTTATTTCTGAATATATATGATTCTTTTTAATAAAATTTTGTTAAAAAAATACTTAATAAAAAATTATTCTAAAAAATAAGTGAAATTTTAATTAAAATGTAAAAAAAAAAATACCTTTTAATATATTAAAAAATGAAAAATAAATAAATAAATAAGTAAGCGAACAAACACTTTGTTCTCCAACTTGCCATCTTGGCGGGGCGAGTTAGATGTTTATGCCCATTTTCACTTGGCGGGCTTGCATGCGCCGCTTTTTTTTAACAGGCTTAAGGCGGGATGGAGCGGGGCGGACGGCCCGTTTTTCCACCCCTACTTTATGCTTTAGGTTAGTCTCTTCATCTCTTGCCCATCTTCTTCAATTTTCAAAACTTCTCCCTTTTTTAAAATATTTTTGTTTTCAAACTTGAAACCTTCTTCCTAATAAACCTTGACTTTGTCAAGTGATTTTCAAAATATATTTTCTTAATAAATGTTAAGACATATTAAACATATTAAAACCTTTTCAAAAGACTAAAAAAGACAAAAATTCATTCAAACCTTTTGTCACTTAGCTTTTCATTTTAAATCTTTTTTCAAAGATTAGATATTAGTCTTGTTTAAAGAAGTGATTTCATCCTACTTCTACAAAGATGACAAAGTGATTGATATTTCCACTGATAATGTTAAGATATGTCTTGTTATTTAAATCTAAGTTGTAAATTCTCTATACTCAAGAAGATGCAAATGTTCACTTTCTCATAATTATTGATAGTATGTTGTATTTTCCACTCAAATAAGACAACATATTTTTTTATTAAAATCAACCAAACAAACGCCATTTTCTTTTTTAGATGAACTACACGTTGGAGATACACAAAACTCCTGAAGTTTCGCCGAATCAAAATATTATTAAAAAAAAAATTCCCATCTCTCCGATCATTTTGCAAACAACCGTTTTTTTAACCAATCACGGATTTTCAAAAAGTTCCCATGAAAATCATTTTGCAAACAATGATTTTTTTAACTAAGCACGATGTTAATACATTCCCTTTGCATAACCAACCCTCTACCTGTTCTCTTCGTGCTTTGCTTTGTCTTGTTTTTTGCTTACAAATTTTGTGGGTTTTATTCGATCTTTTCTCATTCATTTGAAAATAATAAAATTCAATGGTGAGTCTTGTTTTTGCTGAAATAAGTTAATCAATAGTTTATTTTTAAATTTTTCCGCCATTATTGCTAGAGGTCATGGATTCGAGCCTGTCTTTTGTATTTTCTCACATTTTTTCCACCTCCACTTCATGGACCTTTTGTTTTTTTTCTAATTTCCTCCCTGTTTCATATTTGCACCCCTGATCCATTATCATATTTTTATTTTCTTAAATATATTTTTCTTAATATTATATCATGTCTTAGATGTCAAAGATAAGCAGTCTTGAGGTATTATTCTCTTTTGTTTAAATAATATTAAATATTAATAACTTACTAGTACATCTTGTAGAAACCTGATTACTGAGCAACTACTTCATATAATATACTTTATCGTACATACACAATTATAGCAACTTTTTATTTGCTTTCACAATTTGGTTGACCCTAAAAAATGAAACAGACCTATATATCCCCTATATTATTGTCACCAATTCCCCTTTAACTAGATGAATTACTCCCAAAAATTAAGGACCGTGTACTTTCAACAAAGCCAGATCATTCAGCCGCCTGAGTGCCCTTGTATGCGTTTATGAGTTGGATTTGTACATCATGAGAAACCGGTGCATGTTGCTTATATTCCATTGTGAATTCACCCTTTCCCTGCAGTTATTAGAAAAGAAAAGAAACAGCACGAAATCAAAAACCAGATATAAATTGCGATCAAAACATGAAATATCTATGGTCAGTGGGTAGCAGGATATCCACCTGTGTCATGGAACGAAGAGCTGTAGAATACCCAAACATATTGTTAAGAGGGACCTGAAATAATACACAGCAACAACCAATAATTTAGTTTTTGTACACCAATAATTTTTTGTCTTACATCTTAGAATTCGGAGTAAAAGTAAGTCAATCTTGAAAGCTAGCTCTAGGGATGCCCTACACTTAACACCGGTAACATGAAACAATACAGGTGACCCAATAACTAATAAAGGATAGACGTTAATTATGTCTTAGAATTTGGCTATGCATAACCCAATTACATAAGCTAGCTCTAGAGAAGAGGATGGTCTAACTCAACTACATAAACTAGCTCTTGAGAAGAGAATGGCCTATCTCAACTACATAAGCTAGTTCTAGAGATGAGGACTTCCTAAGCCTTAAAAAACTATTTTTGCCATATCGCTAGCCGAAGTGGGATGTCAACACCTCTCATACCCAACACAATGAAGATGTTATAGGCTGCAGTTAATAGCAGACAAGGTGGGTCCACAATGAAGGTGACTAAGATTTCCAAGATTACATTTTATTTAGAATATTTTAGTCATTGTGTCATCAAATCAAATCATAACTAATTGATTTCATACCGCCAAAATCAACCATGGGAACTAACTTTGATAATAGTTAAAATGTTCTAATAGACCTGTTAGGTATGTACTTACATGAGCTGTAAGGACAGAATCATCCCCATCCTGATCATTGCCAACAATCAGACCTTTTCTCCTGTCATTTGTAATAAAAGTATGTCAGCAAATTCTGAAATTTACCATAAAAAAAAATATCCAGAAGGAAAAAAAGGTAAAGAATTCTCACTTGTTGAGGTCACCAGCAACAGCTCCTTGAAATTCTGTTGGTACTTTCAGCTCAACAAGCATTACAGGTTCTAATATAACTGGTCTGGAAGCTGTGTAACACTGTTACAGAAGACAGCACCACAAATTGTTAGGGAATGAGGCCATCATATCATATCTATGTGAAGGAATCAATACACAAGCTATAATATGTGCAATGCAATTTATTAAAAATAAGTGGTGAATGAAAATAACCTGTCTAAAAGCGTAGATAGAAGCCATCTTAAAGGCAAGTTCGCTGGAATCAACAGCATGAGCAGCACCATCTGTCAAGACAACTCGGAGATTTTCAACTGGATGTCCAATTAAGGCACCACTGTGTCAAGAGCAATATTGGGTTAGGGTTGCCATACAAAAAAGTAAGTTCAATCATTCATGCACGCCAAAATTGTACACAACAAAATTAAGAAACTAGTAAGATTTCACTCACGAGTTGGCTGCTTCTCTAAAACCTTTCTCAATTGCAGGGATAAAATTTGATGGAACAGCTTGGCCAACAAGCATGTTTTCAAATTCAAACTTAGTTCCAGACTCGGCAGGAAGTGGTTCAATATACCTGTGTTCATGTTGAATACAATATAATATCATCAAGAAATAGAAGGGGTATTGGAAGATGTACACAACAAGCTTCTTTACCAAACGAATGGTAATAATATTTTACATAAGATAACATACAACAAGCTTCTTTCTCAAACTCCTGTCAAAGTTTCCATCTGTTTATCATTTTTTCCGAAAAACACTTTCTATCAGCAGAACTGGCCACTTCTATTGAATTTTTGTAAAAATTATTACCAGAATCAAACACTAAATCTTATTTGAATAAAATAAGAATGGCCAGTCGATACTTACCCAATCACCCGTCCATATTGTCCTTGCCCTCCGGATTGCTTCTTATGTAAATAATCAAATTCAGCACGTTGAGTAACAGTTTCTCTGAAGTTCACACGGGGCTTTCCAACTGTAGCATCAACCTTAGCAGGTAAAGATATAAGAATGAGTTAGACATTGCAACAGACAAAATACAACAGGAGAGGAATAAAGTCAATTGAGTTGCACATTATAACAATAAATGTAGCAGTTATTGTCATATTATTAATTTTTATGGTGTGTATATATTTAGAAATAAATAGGGAAAGAGAAGGGAAAGGCTACGGGGAAAATTATCAATTGGTTATTGGGAGGGAGAGACCAAGTTCTCTAATTCTTGGAAGGGAAATGCCAAGACTCTCTAATTTGTTGAAAGGACATAAACATGTAACATTACTATCCTAGTCTCTCTAGACTTGCCTTTATGTTCTAGTGTGAAATGGCTATAATAAATCTATATGTTTTGAGACAATTCTGCAGAGGAATTATCATATAAACTATATTCTTAACCTACTTTATTCAAATATATATACCAGTTCTAACAGAGAAATTTTAGATGTAAACATTTGGCAGGCATCAACAGCATAGGAAAAAAATATACATGTTGAGTAAAATGGGTACCTTGTACTCCCTCTTAATGCGTTCAACATAGATATCTAAGTGCAGTTCTCCCATTCCAGAAATGATTGTCTACACTCAAAAGTAAGTTAATGTCAATAAAAGAACAATAATCATGTCGATTAAATGAGGAAGATCTTCAAGGAAAAAGGACAACCTGCCCACTTTCTGGGTCCAAGCCAACACGGAAAGTAGGATCCTCTCTTTGGAAGCGGTTCAAAGCTTTTGAAAACTATAAGCAATACATGGATAAAATCAATTGAGTTGAGCAATATACAACTTTTCAAGCTGGGACTGCAGGGTTGCCATGTTACAAAAAAGAGATTACTCACTTGCCCTCCAGAATCTTTTGAGACAGGCTGTACAGCTAAAGACATCACGGGCTCAGGAACATTCATAGAAGTCATTGTGTATTTAACGGACCCATCAGTAAAAGTATCTCCTGATAACCAAAAAAAATATATTATGGCCAGTATAAAATTAGAATGAAATATGAGCAGAGGCGGAAATAAAACAGAGATTGTCCAACCCAACAACAAATCTTTATCAAAAGCTCTCTTCCCCTAATTATAAGACCCTTTATTCATTTTTTTTATTTGTCCCTTGATAAAATACCCTTAACAAACTTGTCCGTGCATTAATAATTTTTATACAAAAAATCTCCCCATCTAATTTGCAATTAAATTTATTTTTTCTCTCTTATAATATCATTAATTGTAGATGTAATTATGGAAAGAAGAAAAAAATAACTTACAAATTTATTGTATAACTATTTTTCTTAATATCAATAAATTTTCTTAGTGGTTCATAATAAGGGACAAGGGGAGAGTAACCCAGAAATAACTACACAGAACTTATATTAATACTAGTCCTGAAGTATGTAATTAGCGTGTTAATCATCCTAAATTTCAAACCTTAGAACCAGACAACTTTGAAATGTTCATTTATATCTAATTTATTTGGGTTCAATCTCCAAAACCTTGTGTTAGGCTCTTTGATGAGCACATACTTATCATAGATCTCTAGACAGAAAGCTGAAAATTGAGGTCGAGATGATAAGGGACAATTTAAGCTCTAACAGCATATACCCTGTAAATGATACAAGTTGGCGGAGAGTCAGATACAGTAGCAAATTCAGTTCCTGAGAATTCTTTCTCAAATATTCCCATGCAAGCTTTCACTTACGAATAATAATTACAAGATCCATTGGGCCACCACATATCATGATTCAGCAATCGAACCACCCACCATTTATATTTACGCACCAAGCTCAATTGTGTTGGGCGTGTGAAGGGTGTGTTATAAAGTCCCACGCTGGTTTTCTAACGTTGAGTTAGGCTCACCCCAAAATTCTAAGAGGAAGAGTGGTTAAAGGGATTGTGAATATTTATTTCCAGCAAGCTGAAAGTTTTGCTAGAACTATTGTATTCATAACCTGATTTGCTTATTATGTTTTGACTTTTGAAGTACAGCTGTTGTATTTTTTTGGTTCTCTCTCATCCCCTTGGTTTAAATTTATTCTCCAGGATTGCAACATTTTTAAAAACCTAAACCACCACCAAAAGATTCTAGGCAAACATATAAGCAGCAAAAAAAACATGAGAAAGAAGAACCTGATGCACAATCAACACCGAATACAGCAATTATTTCGCCAGCATGGGCCTCCTGAATCTCCTGTAGAGGAAAAATGTTCAATTAGAAGTTTAACAAATGGCAGAGAATAAATTAATATTAAAAATCTTCAAAATGAATTTAGAAGAGACAAAACTGTACATGTTTTCCCTTTCATCAGCGGAAACAATATCCTATGACATACCAATAACTATAACTCCTTATTTTAAAAAATTGCAGTTTCCGGAGGCATTCATTATGCAGGAAGGTCGACATTAAAAAGCCTAAAAACAAACCTGCAATTCATTAGAATGCATCCGACCCAAGCGAGAAATCTGCATTGACAAAACAAAAGCTTCAACCACAAATTATTAGTCTCCGTTGTAAATAATGTATATTTGTAATAATTATATTTGTTCATTAATCAAGCCCATTAGATTTAGCATAGTATCAGAGCTCCCAATTTTTTGGCTTTAGCTTCCGCGTGAATCCTAGCCGCCATCTTTGCGGTTTCTTTTTCGTCCTTCATAGAAGTTTCTTGCATATGTGACTACCTTTGCAATTTTTGTGCAACTTTCACTGCAGCCTCATTGTGTTCTTATACTCTCTTTGTTCCTTTCTCCTTGCCTTGCTACAATTATTTTACTCTTTCGCACAGTTTCTTTGGGTTTTTTTGGTGCGTTCAATGCTTTCAACTGTCAAATCACCACTGTTCTTCGACGTTCTCAGAGTACTGACTCAACACAAGGTTTATAGTCCCATATCAAGCCAAAACCCAGAAATTTTCCATTGTAAGCTGCCTCACGCGCAGATAGACAGCTTTCCATGTAGCACCTTCTATTGGTTTTTGGCCAACGCGCGCTTCAGAAAATTCCTAGATCAAAGCCTTTTGAGTTCGTTTTGGAATCCAGATTGGAGATATTTTTAGATACACCAAGACATATGACATACAAGGTCAGACAAGTGACAAAGATACGCCAAGACATAAGCCATTGACTATGTGAAGACATTTGGTCTAGTGGCAAAGATAAATATTGTTTGAATATTATTATCTCCTGTTGTTAACTCTGAACGGGAACTACACCATTTTGATGTAAAAAAATGCATTCTTGCTTGAAGATTTAGAGGAAGAGTATATGGAGATTCTCCTAGATTTTGGTTTTAGAGGTTAGAGGAGGAGAAAACAAGGTGTGTCGATTGAGGAAGGCCTTGTATGGACTAAATCATTCCCCTAGAAGTGGTTTGGAAGATTCACATATGTAATGGTGAGCTTGGCCTATACATGCAAAGCCAAAGAGAACACACCATTTTCTTCAAACATTCACAATTTGAAAAACGGACCGTGATTCTAAATGATGTTGATGACATTATTGTTACATGAGATGATATGACTGAGACACAGCTGCTCAAGGAGAATTTATCAACAGAGTTGGAGACGAAAGACTTTGAGCAACTCAAGTATTTTTTGAAAATTGAGGTGGCTTATTTAAAGCAAAGAATTTTTATCTTTCAGAAAGCAAATGCTTGATCTTTGGCAGGAAACAGACAAGCTTGGATGCAACTTGCGAATGCTCCCATTGAATAAAATCTAAAATGAGTTTTGCGGGGAGAACTTTTGTTTAAAATCTAAAATGTTTAAAATGCAACTTTTGTTTAAAATCTAAAATGTTCTACATCTCATAGCCACTCCAAGAAGAGGACTTTTGTTTAAAAGAGGTGGAACAAACTATAGTGGTGTATAATTATGCTGATTATGTGGGTTCAGTGAATAATAATAGGTCAACGTCTGTGTTTTTCTATGTAGGAACCTTAATACTTGGAGGAGCAAGAAGCAAAGTGAAGTAGCTCTCGACCAAAGGCTGAAGCAGAATTTAGAGCTATGGCACAAAAGAATTTGGAGCTATTGTAGATGAAAATTGCACTAAAAGATTTGAAGATAAAGTGTGAAGGCTTTATGAAATTGTTGTGACAATAAATAGACCACCACTGTTTCTCATAATCATGTTCAACATGACAAGAGAAAAACATACTGAGATAGATCGACATTTTATGAGTGAGAAGTTAGATAGTGACTTGATAACTACAACCTACATTCCTTTATGGCATCAGGTGGCAGGTGTGTTGACAAAGGGATTACTAACATAATGTTCCAACCAACTTATTGCAAGCTTAGAACAATAGATATTCATTCACTAGTTTGAGAAAAGTGTTATAAATAACTTATATTAGTAATTATAAGTAATAATTGTATTCAGCCCATAAGGTTTAGAAACGTCAATTTAAATGAATTAGTGCACATACTTTATTGACAACTTTGAAATATCTCGGATATATTTTCTAGTCTCTAAATGTCATACAAAATGCAGGGAGATGGCAACGATCTTCTTGGGAATAGCACTGCATTAATTATTAATTATGTATCAAGCTTCACATCCAACTAATAAAAACTAAAACTATTTCAAGTATTTGTTGTACTGTTATAGGTTTTCATGTTTTCTTGCCTTCAGATAAACTAAAAAAGTTCAAGATGAAGTGGAAAGGATACCAAATGACAACCCAAAACATCCTCGTATGAGACTATGAGTACATGCAGGACGAGCATGGTCAGATGTCTGGTTAAAGATAGCATTTATGTATGATAAGTTTCTAAAAAAATTGCCCATACTAGTAGGACAGTAGCTTGAAAGAGCTTGTTAGGACAAAACAGAAGGATATGTTTAGAAGAAAAAGGGGAAACAAATTAAATAGCTTGATACATCCCCAATATTATAGGCTAGTTTCAAGAGCCCTTAAAAAAATTCTGAATTTATTTGCACCCAAAGCATCAAAAGCAGTCAGAGCTTGTTTAAATTTTTCCTGTGTTAGGTCATCCTCTGTCACTTGGTAGGTTGAATTGAATTAAAGAATTATGTGACCCTTCATAGTTCATACTCATACTAGCCAGCTTTACATTCACCAATGTAGATGTGTTTCCATTGTTATATCATCCCACGCATTGGATCACAACCATCAAATATGGGCAATTCAACCGTGTTCACTAGCATCCAATATCCTTAACTTCTTAATTATTTTTGAAGCAAGGACTGCTTCATTTCCATTAGAACCACGTGTTCTATCAGAAACTCATGGAGGAGAAGTGTCCCCCTTCTCTTTTCAGATTTCATTCAGCACCAGAAGATTCATTTTCTTTATATCTCGTACTATTATTGAATTCTTTAACCCATTCACTTAGACTTGGAGACTGGAATCCATGATGACTAGTAGAATTTCCATGAATATGAGACTAAATAATTGAAGAGGAAAAAACGGTAGAGTTGGATCAATCATTATTATATAAGGTTTTTCACCAAAACTCTAAATAAATCAGTTATTGAGTTATATCTCTACCCTAGAAAGGAAAAACATACATATGAACAATGACAAATGCAATCAAACTAGAGCACCGAAAGGCATTAAACTTACCTTGGTCTTCTTGCCAGAGTTAACATTAATCACAAAATCCCCCTTCCGAATGACGCCCTCATAAATTCTTCAATCAAATAATCAATACATTAACATATGTGAAATATATATATATATATATATATATATATATATATATATATATATAACCATCTCCAAAGGCGAGAGGTACCTTAGATATGATAACTGACCAAACTTATTTTCCTCCAATTTGAAAGCCAATGCTACAAGGGGCCCATCAGGACTTCCAGTCAGCTCAATCTAGACAAGTAAAGACATAAAATAACCAGTTATGATTGTAATCTCTGTAGATCATGCAGCGAACAACCAAGACAATTTCCATAACTATATATGATTTCATTGCAGAAATTGTCTCCAAGAAAAAATAATCAGCTCACATCAAACCCAGGTGGGTTATGTAAACGTGAATGCAAGAATTACTTTATACTTGGTATTTTCCAATATTGAAAAGCAATAGAACGGGGAGCTGTGAAACTCACCCCAAGCTTACCCACCTTGATATTTTAACTTCGAATGCCAAATATTCTCCAATCATAAACCTTAATTTTCTATTTCAAAAATAATTTAAATTAGGAAAAGATGGATGGGACCTACCTTTCAGATTTAACATTTCTTTTAATATGAAGTCATTAACTGTTATCAAAATTTTAATCTTGATTTTCTTAAATGTTAATTTGAAATTTGGGGTTTCATTTCTTTTCTGGCAAGTGATTACAATATCACCTAGATGCATTATAATGTTTACTACTGATATTTTACACTTTCTGAATGATTTATCTATTATTTTATTTATGAAGAACATGCATTTAAAGCAATTTTTATACTTTTAATTTTAATAGAGAATCCTATAATTCGTGATTCAAAATTTTGGCTTTAAAATTCAATTCGAAGTTTTCAATAATCATGAAATACAATATCAAAGTAAAACAGGGATTAACTTTCTATGAATCAGGTACCTTCTCCTCGTTCTTAGATTGGTCAAGAGCATTATTACTAACTTCAATTGGACATGGCAAATAACCAAGTACTCCATCCAGAAGTGACTGTACTCCCTGTATCAATAGTGGAAGATTAAATATATACGAGAAGTGATGATTCAAACAACTACACAGTATGCATGATATCTAGAATGTGCAAGTTTGGATCATACTGAAAAATGTGTTTGGGCATGCCAATGTGAGAATGCATGCATGTGAAATAATAATTTAGGGAGGGGGCTGTTTATTAAAGGGATTATATTAGAGAAATGGTACTGTAAATTTATGGATAGCAATATCCAAAATGGGCAATAACTTCCATACAGTAAGTAATATACAAGGAATAGATATGAATATTGTAGAAGATTATTATTGAAGGCTTGTTGTTATGTTCCAACAGGGCAGTTATATCCACGCACCAAGCCCAATAGTGTTGGACATGAGAGGGTGTGTTAAGAAGAGTCACACATTGGACAATATATGGTTTGAACATATGCTTATAAGTGGGATCAATCCTCGCCTTATAAATCAATTTTGTAGAGTTGTGTTAGGCCCAACCACAATTATAAGACATACTACCATACCATTAAGTCAAAAATCGATGGAATAATATTACTACGCATACATCTTTACTGAATGGGAGGCACAAAGTAGTTTATTATGCAGTATGAATTTATATGTGAAGTTGAGAACAGAAGGTGAGTTCAAAGATTACCTTGTTTTTGAAAGCACTACCCATGAATACCGGTATAAATTTCTGTGCTATGGTAGCCCTACGAATTGCTCCCTACACAAACATAATAACCAGAAATTATAAACTATATTAAAATATATGTGGATAGAGAGGTCAAGTGGGTGGAGGCCTAATAGAATTTATGCTAGATTTAAGCACAAGCATAATTAGAACTACTAGTTGTTACTGAACTATAGATGATTAGCTCCATTAAAAGCTCAACATATGAGATGATTCCCCTTCTAATTAATAATGTAACGTAAACATTTAGTTATTATAATATGGACCAATTAGATACAGATTTACTTCAAATCCTTTCCTAATTATATATATGGCGTCAGTGATTTAATAATCCATCACACCATTGTGCTTCACCGGTGATTTCGGTTCTCTATCCCCGGCCAGGGCCATGCAAACGGCTGACCAACTGACTCTGATTACCACCCAATTCAACAACAGAAGTCACCAACTAACCCAACTTCAACCAACATGAGCCCTATCTGTTCCAAAACCAACATTTCCACCTCTAGCTATGCCTCTAGTTCACTGTCAACGTCAGTTTGATCATTATCTCCTTAATCACATATGAACATTTGGTAAGTGCAGCCAATTACTTCTGTTGGGCTACTGGTGTAGACTAATGGTTTGAAAAGTAGGGAGGACCGTAATGATCACTCCATATCAAACAAGCAAGCCAAGGATATTCCTACAAGGAATCAAGATAGGCAGAAAACAACCGATGCTAAACTTTAGTTACAGACCCTTTTTTTCATTAAATTAACACATAAAACATCAACCAATGTGTCATTCTAACAATTTTCAGACAAAACCATGCATATGAGCAGTTTCCTTGGCAGATTCGTGAATCAAAGGAAAATAGGAACTATGCCAAACAATTTTCAGTTAAAATAGTGAGACCATTACAATCTGACATGTCTATATCATTTCTTTATGCATATCTAGAATGCCCAAACCACATGGTCCGCAACACATTCAGAGAATAGAATAGATCAAGAAACTAATTGTTAGAATTAGGATAGTATGATATGATGCATTTCCCATAAACCAAATAATTGTCCTACAAAACTCAGGAATATGAAAAACTGCTACCTACTCACCTCAAGATCAGCATCTGAAATGGGTTCATCACTCAGAAACGCTTCAGCAAGTATATCATCAACCTCTGACACGGTTTCTATTAGTTCACGTCTTTTTTCAGACACCAAGGTTTCCATATCTGAAGGCACCTCTTCAATGACAATTTTTTCGCTGCAATAAGCAATGTTTTAGTAAGCTGAAGAAATATGGCAAACGTAATCTTCGGAAAAAATAATGAAGAATATTGAAAACAGACCCATTTGAACCATGAAAATAATAGGCCTTTAGCTTCACAAGATCAACAAGTCCCTTGAAATCATCTTCCAAACCTATTGGAACTTGAACTGCAGCATTATGATGCCGAAGCTTAGATCTAGCCTGAAAAATAAAACAAATTGGTAACAAAAATGGAAAACATTCAATTCAAAAATAAGAATGAAAAAGAATTTTTAAAAACAACAAAGTTAATCATTAATTAATTAATAAATAAATAGTAGAAGTTGTCAGGTAAAAAAACAAATTTTATAGCTGACCTCCAAAATGCCATTGGACACCTCTTTTCAAGATAACCAAATTTGTGTAAATGGGATTATAATTTATAACTGTAAAACATATTATCTTAGCTGACCTCTATAATAAATCTCATTCACACCTGATTTATTACTTTCCATGGATCTGCTCCCATTCGATCAAGCTTGTTAATAAATGCAAGTCTAGGAACCTCATATCTTCTCATTTGCCGATCAACGGTAATGGACTGACTTTGCACCCCACCAACGCTACAAAACACAAGAATGGCACCATCAAGGACACGCAAAGCCCTCTCAACCTCAATGGTGAAATCAACATGACCAGGTGTGTCAATTATGTTGATCTGCAACAAAACATTTTGCCTAAGTTTCAGCGTAAATAACCACAAGAGAAAGTCACTATCAAAAGCAGGTTGAAGAATATATCAATGTAAGTTGTAATTTCCAATGGATACTGCAAACAGGAAAAATAAGTAGTCTTTATTTAGTTTACCCATTTCAGTTACGCGTAACTAAAAAAAACAGAAAATGTCTTAAATCGTTATCCTTCTTCTATGATGACGAATAATCACCAAAAGTAACTTACACTGACTAAGATAACAGTACAGCACTCAAATCTCAAATTCCTCCCTCAAACAAGTGAAAATTAATTACTCGGCATCCAATTCTCAATCCCTATTACCCTAAATTTTGAAAGAACAACAGAAAACATTTCAAAGAGCTTAATAGTCCTGCCTTATAAAGTAATCGCATTTTCGAGTGTTTGGGAATAGATTCTAATATAGCTTATGATATGTTCATAATTATCTTCATCTTATTCTTGAAATCTCATATAAGAGTTAATTGATACGTCCCTACTTGATTGTAGGAATAGCTTATTTATAATCTCTTATAAGAGAAATGATTATTGTGTAAGCACTTAATTAAGTTGTTTATCGAAATTCATGCTCCCAAAGACCCACTACTACAACCATTAATCATTTTTTATATTGACAATAGTAAAAATAGTAATCATAATAATAGCAGTAGTAACAACTGAGCACTCATATACCCTGCCTCTGTAGTCTCAAGTTCACATTCAGATTAAAAAACGCAGTATACAACTTAAAACTATTGAGGGAGAGTTTAGTCATTCATATGGTTCTCTGGTAATTAGTCTATACAATCGGGTGCAAGGATGACCCCATTTATACATTATAAATAGTAACAATAGAGCACTCATAATCTCATATATCACGCCTGTGTGGTATCGAGTTTGAATTCAACTCTAACACTGCAGCAGCAAGAAACTTAAAACTATTGAGGAATAGTTTAACCACCCATTTGGTTCTCTTAATGATTAATCTCCACAATTTCATGCTGGGATGGCCCCACCCTAATTTATACCAAAGAAAACAATATTGCACCTATAATTTTATTGAATTCTAAACCTTCAAAAATAAAAACTCACTACACTTCCAAATTCAAATTTCACTTGAACTCAACTAAAACCTCATAGTTCTCATCCTAGTTTTAAATTGCAGTCGCCAACCACAATTACAGCTACAATATTGCTGATGTGATAGCCTCCGCAACTGCATCGGACCACAATTGCGGTGTTCATCCAAACTTAAAACTTCAGAAGCCAAAAACTCAATTCACCTCCTATGTAATGAAAAATCCTAACATCGACTGTTTCTTAACCATATATTTCAAACCCCTCCGCAACCGCATCAACCACAATTTAAAACTATGGTTCTCATTTCTCCCAGTTTAAAATTTTCATATATTCTTGCAAGGAATGAAAAGCGAAATCCCTTAAAAATCCACACTCTACTTTACTTCAATTGGATTCAACTAGAATTTAACAACACAAACTGAAAATAGATAGTCACAAATCAAGTGTGAATTACCTTATAGTCCTTCCATGTACAATGAGTAGCAGCAGACTGAATAGTGATTCCCTTCTCTCTCTCCAACGCCATGGAATCCATCTTGGCACCAACGCCATCCTTCCCTCTCACCTCATGGATCTCGTGGATCCGACCGGTGTAAAACAGCACCCGCTCCGTCAAAGTCGTCTTCCCGGAATCGATGTGCGCCGAGATACCGATGTTGCGAATCATTTCCATAGACTCCACCCACCAAGGCTCCTTGTTAACTGACGCCGCCTTGGCACGTGCCACGTTCCCGGCTGAGAAGTGTCGGAGGTGGAAAGTGCCACCGATGAGGGAGCCGGTTGGGGATGGAGAGACTGTGGTGGTGGAGGAGCATAGTGCGTAGAGGAGACGGTGTGCGGAGGACCTGGAGAAGCGAACCATGGTGGTACGGTTCACCTTGGGGTTTTCGGTTTCTCAGAGGTGTTTGAGGAAATGGAAGCTAAAACCCTTCACCAAACGATGAAATTCTAACGGGTCGGGCTGTTAGGTGGGTCGGGTTTGACACTAAATTCTTTATGAAATCTCTCTATCTCCCTACTTAATCTAAGTCAAAGTTGTCAATACGTTTAACCTTAATTTTTATGTGGTATCATATTAGAATCATAATAGGTGTGATATTAGGGATGATAAAACGAGTTGTGGTCCGTCGGATCGGTTTATGCATCTGCCACAAAATAATGGGTTGGAATTTTGGACTCACCGCCCACTAAAACTCGTTCTGCTAAAGACGGTCACCTATGAACGTCCGTCCCGTCAAAATCCATTGCACTTATTCGTTTAGTTTGTCTCACTTTAAATTCGTCTTTTTTTAGTTAATTATAGTAATTTCAGTTCTTGATGGTTTTATTTTATATATTAATTTGTGAATGTATGTAATATTTTTTGAAGTAAAATTTGTTAATAAGATGATTTATAAATAAATATTTTAAAATATAAGTGAAAAATATAATTGAAATGTAAAAAAACTATTAATATATTAAAAAAATGAAAAATAAATAAGTAAAAAAAGTAGGCGGACAAGCTCGCCCACCGCCTGCCAACCCGCCACTTTGGCGGAGCAAACTTGATTTTTATGCTCATTTCTACTTGGCGGGTTTGTCCTTCCGCTCTTTTTTTGACATGCTTAAGACAAAGTACGACGTAACGGGCGATCCGTTTTGTCACCCCTATGTGACATCATATCATATTAGAATTTAAAATTTTTATCACTCTTTTTTTTATTCTGCACACAACTTCAATTCAATACCATAATTAATAATAATAATAATAATAATAATAATAATAATACGGGTCTCGTCTGGTTTCATATTATATGTCTCTCACTCTCATTTGTCAAATTTGTATTCATTTATTAAATTGAATAACATTCATATAGTTACAAACATAATAAGTATCTTGAACGCATGTGTCTATTTATTAAAAAAATTGTAATTTATTCTCGTTTATAAAAATATTAATAATTTATTACCGTTTATAAAAATTATTGTAACTTATTTCCGTTTATAAAAATAACTATAGCAACATGTAGACTTTTTTCATTTATAAGTGTCTTGAACGCATTGACGATTTATAAAATTATTTTTATCTTATTCATGTTAAAAACAATTATATCAATTGTTGAATTTTTTTCGTTTATAAAAATATTCGTAACTTATTTCTCGTTTATACAAATAATATATCAATATGTATACTTTTCCCGTTTATAAGTGATTTGAATCCGTGTGACCATTTATAAAAATATTTTTAACTTAATTATGTTAAAAACAATTGTATCAATAGTTGAATTTTTATCGTTTATAAAAATATTTGTAACTTATTTTTGTTTATAAAAATAATTATAAAATTAAATATTTTCTATATCATCTTAAATTTATTTATTCAATAGTAATAAATATGTGTCTCATATGTAATTATGTTTATAAATAAATATTGTCTATTAGTGATAAATATTAAATTTATTGTTTTAATATCTAGTTAATTTTTGTCAAGTAAAATAAATATTCTAACTAATTAAAGTAAATATTATATAGAAAAAAAAAAGACAAACTAAAAAATTTTATTTTTTATTATATTATAAAATTGTATGGATAAAAATATATTTTATTTTTTAGGCAAAATACCCTTTTTGGTCTTTTAAGTTTACCCCAAGGTCCATTTTGGTCATTTATCTGAAAAAAGTGTCAAACTGGTCCTATAATTCTTTCAAAAGGACCATAGGAGTCCTTTCCGTCCAAAAGGCACAAACGGACGTTTGGTTTGCATGCGTGGCAGGTGACATAGAATGTTATGTACACCATCTTCAAGCTGCTTCCAGAAATCCTCAAATTCTAGGGTTCACACATTGCATCTCAATTTTCCCATTTTGAATTTGAAATTCCCTCAATATGATAAAGGAAGCATCATCAGAGATCCGGTCTTCGTACGATTGCAATAGAGATGGAAGCTTAGATGGAAAGTTGCGATGGAGACCTATATGTGGTTGTGGAGAATCTGCGGTTCTTCGAAGGGCTACCACTATCACAAACTTTGGGAAGCAATTATGGGGTTGTCGTCATTACAAGGTAAGCATGAAATTAAAATGGGTTTTCATATATTCTTGTTCTGATAGTTCCTGCAATAGCTGAGATGAATTTGGATGTCACCATTACAGGGTTCATCTGAATCTGGGTGTGGATACTTTTAATGGTTCTTTGATGATGTGGTGGATGAGAAGGATCAGTTTATAAAGAAGCAGAATAATAGGTTGGAGAAGCTGCAAAATGAGCTTGATGGAGCAAAGATGGAGATACATCATCTAAAGGAAAGGAAGGATGGGCTTAAACATAAGATAATGGAGTTACAAATTGAAATGAAGAAGATGATGAATTCTCAGAAAAAATGGAAAAGATTCTTCTTTATTATGTTAGTTGTGGTAATTTGGATGATGTTGTAATAGACTGTTGAATTGAGATTATATGTAATAGAGTATCATATGTAACACTGTCTCGATTTGAACATGGTATCATTATGAATTTGAATTTTTATATCAACTTGAATTTTTGAACTAGTAGCATTTTGATCAATGTAACATACTGTAAAACATACTGTAGCAATTTTTGTATCAATGTAGCATTTTGATCAATGTAACATACTGTAAAACTAGTAGCATTTTTGTATCAATGTAAAACATAATGTAACATACTGTAACTAGTAGCATTTTGATCAATGTAACATACTGTAGCAATTGAAGATAGGTAACAACATATAATTATAAGGTGGTGGATACCACTAAGTTGCATACAAAAGAACCTGATATTACAAGTCCAATCAAAACAGCCTGATATTACAAGTAAAAAAAAAACAAAACAACTTGATATTACATTATCAAAACAACTTAACATAACCAATTCTAATATTACAAGTTAACAAAACAACATAACAACTATAGGTCCAATCCTAATCCAAAACAAACATAAAAGTAAACTAAAGTTTCCACTTTGGTGCTGCTCTTTTAGTTGGTGTTGTCCTTCTTGTTGTTGGACCTACAATAGTTCTTGATGCCTTTAACCTCGTTGTTGGACCTGGTGGGACAAATGGTGCATTTGGCCTTCTAACTGACAACTTTTTGGATGATTTAGATTGAGATGGCTGAGAAGCTTGACCCAGAACTGACTTAGATGCTTGAGATGCCACTGGTACAGATGCCACTGGTACAGATGCCACTGGTACAGATGCTTGAGATGGTTGAGAAGGCACTGGTACTTGTGGTACAGATGGTGCTTGTGGTACAAATGGTTGAGCTGCATGTGGTACTTGTGTAGTAGTTGTCTGACTAGTAGAAGGCACCTTACAAGTAAGCTTGTTGTGACCTACCTGCTTACACCTGCTACACTTTATAATGAATCTCGTTCTTCTCGTCTTTTTATCAGTACCATCTAGCTCACCTTGCTCTAAATTCCTCCTTTTCTTTGGCCTTCTAGGCATTTTCCTGAATTTGGGTGGCATAACATCAGGGTACTCAGTTGTAACCCATAGGTTTGAGCCATTAACAGGGAATATGGCAGGTTTGTACACTTGCAAATATCTAGATTTCCTGTAATAATCCGGAATGTATTCATCAATCCTATGGTTCCTATTCTTGATTGCTGCAAGTGAATGAACACATGGTAGGCCTGTTAGCTCCCATCTTCTGCATGAACAAATTTTTTCCTTCAAGTTTACAGTGAATTTTTCAGCAGAATTTTCCAGATGCCTCACTTCAAACATATGCTCATCAGACATTCTAACACAGAAAAATGGACATTCCAAATTAAGACATCAAATGGACATTCCAAAGTCAGACATTCTAACACAGAAAAAATGCTTGTTTTAATAATTTTACCTGGGAAGCCACATGTTTGTGAATGAACTTGTTTTCTCAACCTTTTTCATAATGTTTGGCAACACTTATACATCTGTCAATTTCTGAAACCTCGTCCTGTTTGTAGCCCATCTCTCCATCATGTATATCCTAATTTCTTCCACCATGGTTATTAATGGCTTGGTCCTTGACTCCAAAATAACACTATTAAAGGATTCTGACATATTATTGAGAACTGCATCGCATTTGTTATGAGTCTTGAAGTATGATCTGCTCCAAAACCTTGGAGGGGTAGACATCATGTGCTTGTTAGCTTCTCCATTGATATGTTTCATAACTTTCATCTCTCATTCCCAAGCTTGGTAGTAAGTTGATTTAGATGCCTTCCATATAATTTCCTTTAATTTTTTTCCTGGAAATCTCTTCCTAAAGTTATTGTAGAGATGCCTAACACATAATCTTTGTTCAACTGTAGGCAGCAGTTCCTCCATTGCAGGCAATAATCCCTGGGTCATGATATGTATAAAATTTAATTATTAAACATGAGAATACCAGGATAAACATGAGAATTTAATTATTAAAAATACTAATCAATTGAGAATTAACAATAGAGTCATACCTTTTGTTGATCAGAAATAAAAGTGTATGTGAGACACTCTTCTCTTCCACCTAGATCACCAATAAGCAGCTCCAAGAACCATGTCCAACTTTCCTTGTTTTCACTCTCCACTACTGCATATGCTATTGGTAGCATTTGATCATTGGGATCTCTGCCTATGGCTGACAGGATTTGACCTCCACAAAGCCCTTTCAAAAAACATCCATCAAGCCCTATGAAATGTCTACTTAACCTGAAGCTTTCCTTACAAGCTTCCAAGCATATGTAAATCCTTTTAAAGTGTAATTTTTGAACACCACTACCTTCTTGAGCTGGTTGGACATGTACTTTCACAGTTGACCCTGGGTTAGATCTTAACAACTCATGTGCATAGTCATAAATCCTTGTATAATCCCCTAAGAATGACCCATCAACCATGTCTCT